ACGTTTAGGATAACTTCCAAACCACACTCTCAGAAACAAAAGCTGCCTAAAAGGTAGACTTTTGTAGTTAAAGAGGACCTATTATACAATTATCACTTTTATAAGAGGTTTAAACACAGTTATATACCAACAGTCTGTGTATATAACTAGCTTCTAATGCTAAAAATATATTTATTTTATTTTTATAATCACACCTGATAAAAACAGTTAGAAGAAACACTTTGATTGACCTTCTCTGATTGTCATCATAAGGTGAAGGCCCCGCCCATTAGTAGCGATCTCTCCCTCATTAGCATAGGATGTTTGTCTTGTTTTTGAATCTGCCACTATGCTGGCACATAGGCATTTCTAGCCCCACCCTCTTTTGAAAAGATCTCATTTGAATTTAAAATAATTGTCACCAGAACAGGACAATTAGGATCAAAGTCTAAAAGACGCAGTTTCAAAGACTTATAAAACATTATTTGTCGGGTCTTTTGAGCTGAAACCTATATACACTCGACTCTAGGGACATCAGAGACTTTTTTTTTTACATCTTATTAAAACCCGGTAGACACACAACGTTATAAGACATTAATATTAGGTTAGATTTAGGTCACCAGCGTCTAAGGACAACGCTACTTTGATGTCCAATAACGACGTAAAATGATGGTGATATTTGGTTGATTTTAGGTTGCGCTGGAAAGTGACCAAAATCTAACGTTGAGCCAACATCTTAAACCAACATCATATTGACGTCAAATACTGACATTTATTAGTCAGAAATGGCAACCAAGATTCAACATCTGATAAATGTCATATTGGTAACGTCAACACTTCGTCAAGCTGTAAAATCATTAGACTTTGATATTTTTTAGTGTTTAGGTTGAGTTTGGAAAGTAACCAAAATGCAACGTCTGTCCAACGTTAGACATTGAATTTGGCCTGACGTTGGGCTCTGACGTCAACCCGACTTTCATAGCGCAAAATGCATGGGCCCTTACACAATAAGGCCGGGCCCCCTTACAGGAGTGAAGACCGGGGGTTGGGGAGTGGGGGGTGCTTATGCTCACACCTTTAAGTGAAGACGTCGAAGGGCGGGGGGTTGACGGAGGGTGGGGTTGCTGCGGTGGGGGCAGTGTTAAGGCTGAGGTGAGTTTTTTTTGTGGTGAGTTATGATCGCACAAACTGAAGAGGGGGGATTTACCCCCCATTCGCTACACCACTGGTCCTGTGTCTGCTGGGATGGGCATAATAGATCCCTTTTAACTGGTACATATTAGTATCTAAATGAGGGGGCACGGTGGTGCAGTGGGTAGCACGACTGCCTCACAGCAAGAAGGTCACTGGTTTGAGCTCCTACTGGATCAATTGGCATTTCTGTGTGGAGTTTGCATGTTCTCCCAGTGTTCTCATGGGTTTCCTTCGGTTGCTCCGGTTTCCCCCACAAGTCCAAAGACATGCGCTATGGGAGAATTTGGTAAAATAAATTGTCTATAGTGTATGTGTGTGAAAGAGATGTATATGGGCGTTTCACAGTGATAGGTTGCAGCTGGAAGGGCATCCGCTGCGTAAAACATATCCTGGATAAGTTGGCGGTTCATTCCGCTGTGGTAACCCCTGATTAATAAAGGGACTAAGCCGAAAAGAAAATGAATGAATAGTATCATTCAAAAAAATATATAGTGTATTTACATTAAAAAAACTGATATACTGGAATATCAGTATAATACTGATGATACTGGAACTTCAAAACTCTAAACCTGCCTTATTAAAGTCTAAAAGTGTTATATAAGTAGGTCAATAGTCACAGCTGGTACATTTACAAATGAAACAATAACAACATTGCGAGCTAGGATTCTGCCCTTTGTAGATCTACCTCAGTGGGACAGCAGAAGTTTTTTCTCCCTCCACATTTCCTGTTTACATTTGTGGAAAGGATAAATACTTCAATAGAGGTGGACTTGTTGAGTGCAGCTGTGCCACATGCTTTATCTGTGTGTTGGAGCCGTGCATGGTGTTCATCAAAATCTTTTTTGAAAACAAAAGTTCAAGTCAGGTTTTTGAATGATGTGTTTTCTACTGATAGCAACCTTAATTTTGTCTTAGTGTTTGCACTAAGTCCCTGTGTAATCAAGTTGCAAGCCAAGGGCTTGTAAAAGACCAGAAGATTTCTCAAGCACAAGCTAAAGTTCATAACTCAAACTCAAAAAACCACTGCTCACCAAGAGGAACAACAAAGCTTTTCTCATAATTGCTAAAGATCATCTAGATTATGACCAAGAATCTAAGGATAAAAATTCTATGCAGAGAGTCAAAAGTTGGAGTTGAAGAAAATCAGGATCAATATTAAATAATCTTGATAACTGTTTTTTTTTCATTCATAAATGTCTCACAAACATACCACAATATAACTGAATAGTTACAATGTCAATTCATTGTGGTTGTAAAATAAAGTACAGTTAAGGTTTATAGCCTTCTATTAATTTTTTTATATGTGGGTATGTGTTTGATTCCAATTAAAATATGCTCTCCTTGTCTTGTGGACGTTCACTGCATGAAAGGGCTTTGGAATGAATTGTCATAAATGACATAAATTTCATTTCTTGTTGTTGAAAGCTAAACAACCCTCACAAGATACAATTTCACAACAGCAAATACCCAACTCAGCATATAGGGGAGCGCAGGGCACAAAGTAAAATGTGACAGAATTTCAAGGTATTTGCTCATGGTTAGGGCGCTGTAGGTAGTGCTATTGCCTCACAACAAGAAGGTTGCTGGGTCGCTGGTTCGAACCTGGGCTCAGTTGGAGTTTCTTTGTGGAGTTTGCATGTTCTCCCTATGTTTGCGTAGGTTTCCTCCGGGTGCTCCGGTTTCCCCCACAGTCCAAAGACATGCGGTACAGGTGAATTGGGTAAGCTAAATTGTCTGTATTGTATGTGTGTGTGTGTGTGTGTGTGTGTGTGTGTGTGTGTGTGTGTGTGTGTGTGTGTGTGTGTGTGTGTGTGTGTGTGTGTGTGTGTGTGTGTGTATGTGTGTGTGTGTGTTTCCCGAAGATGGGTTGCGTAAAAGCGTGCTGGATAAGTTGGTGGTTCATTTCGCTTTGGCATCGCCAGATTAATAAAGGGATTAAGCCTAAAAGAAAACTTTGAGGTTTTCACCACAGTGTTGGCAGACGTCTTGCTGCCAACTATTGAAAAGATTCGGCAACATTAAATGAGAAACCATTTTTTTTTTGTAGCATAAAAGTATTTTTTATTGTAGTCAATATTTTTTTATTTAAAATAAATCTGTGAAAGTATTACGTAAAAACAATTGTTGTGATTGGCGTCTTCTAGGTTAAAAGATGAAACCATTTTGAAATATGTAAAAAATGCAGTGACTGTTAGCCAGTTTTGAGAAAAACACGACACAGCGGGTTTAGTTGTAACAGGGTTTCTGCTGAATTTTGGTAAAAGTCTACGGATTTCTGAGTATATTCTGCGGATACTCATACTTATTTTGAAAGTATCATAATTAAAACCTTAATGTATGAAATAAAAAAATAATATCTTTTTAACTTTTTATTAATGTTTAAAATGCAAATCCAATTAGATTCACTTTATTAGGTAAATAAAGCAAGTTTGTCATATAATATATCTAGTAAAAGACAGAAAATAATACTGTACAAACTGCATTGTACATAAATCAGATGAACATTTTCACATTAATCAATATTACTGATATTAATTAAAAAACTGAATAAATATAAATTTACACACATTTACTCAAGTAAAGAAACAGATTAAATGATGGGCTAAAAATCTGCGGAAAATCTGCTGATTTCTGAAGAAAATCTGCAATAGATGGGTCTATCTATTGGACACCAATTAAACGAACAAAATAACTGTTGAATTTTGTGTGTAATGTAGAGAGCTTTTTAAATAAAATGTTTTTAAATAGAAAATATTTTTTAATAGAAAAAATTGTATTGCTAATATTGCAAATAAATGCATTGTATACTAATGCAAATAAATCTAAATCTGTTTATCCAATAGATAAAAACATAAATAAGCATACTGTGCTATGTAGAATAAAAAAGAAATTAAGCTAAGTACTGAAGAAATATAGCTACTATTTAAAATAAACTGGATTTAAATTAATGGTGTAAAATCTGCCATTTTAAGCATGTGTTACAACTAACCCTCTGACTGTTACAGTGCCCTGCAGATGCGGTAAATAGTAACACTTTTACTCCTGGCACTTTTGGCAATACTGCACAGAATCTATTAGTCTGGCGATTAATCAACCAGTGCTCATTTATAGGAGAGGCTTGTGTGTTGTTGGTAAAAAGCAAATGGTTTGTCTAACCCCATTACTTTATTTATTATTTGTCCAAAACCAAAAAGTGTTACTTTGTGCCCTGCTCTCCTTTAAAGCAAGCTGAGGGAGAACAAATCAGTTCACATCTGAACTTAAGCTTTTGAGTTTGAAATGCGTTTCATCCAGAATAATAGTATTGTATTGTAGCTAATTAATTATTTTTTTTAAGTAAGCAAAAATTAAGCCGGTTCCCTTCAGAAAGACACACCTTCCTTCCATTGAATCTCCTCTAGTTTTTCCCAGCGCGAGGTGTTCCTTTCTCAGAAGACGGTTGAGGGCGACAGAGGGATGTGCTTCCAGTGTCTCAACTCTTCAGCATGCCTACTAAGTACTTGAGATTTAGTCGGCGACTTGACTAAGCGCTTGTACTTCACCTCTTCAAAGCATATGTCTCTTTGGACTTCAGTCTCCAGTGTTTCAGCATCATCGCGGCTGTTGCTGTCAGATGGATAAACCCGCTTCGCGCCTCACAGGTTCCTCTCTCAGGAAAACACTTCAATTGGCTTTTGGGCACGACCACGGCGTGTAGTGTTGTACTACAGTGTTGCGTGAAGACCACTAGCGGTTATTAAGGGGCATTTGTGATATGGAAGGGATTCAGAAACTCTGTCATGTATTGACTGCAGCAAACAGTCCCGGGGAAGAATGAAGTAAGCGCGATGGAGCCGGACAATACCCCGAGCTCCAGACTCAGAGCAGCTGGGGTCGGGGGGTGAGTAAAGCCGCTTTCCATCATAACAAATCATAGATGTATTTCACACAAACTTTAAATGGGTCGTAAATTAGCCTGCTGGCTATCAGCTCGGTTACATAAGGAAGAATGAGTTCACGAAGGGAGGTCCGTCACGAATGTCCATTCTGGAGTTTGGGGAAACTTGATGAATGAATGGGACGCTGAGGAAACCTGTTCAGCTTTGTTGTGCAGAGTGTTATTTGTTTTAAACTTGCGTCTTTTTACTGATTTGATTATTTAATTTTGGCTTTATGTTTTGTAAACAGTAAATAGCTTGGTTTTGAGGATTTGGAGTATTTAGTGTACTACTTAAATATCTTTGGATGACCAGTCATGATTAGCAGTTTATTTTCTAATCAATCAATCAATCAATCAACAAGAAATTTTATTTAATACAACTTAGACAAAGGCAACATTTATAGTGGATATGTATAACAAACATATACATTTGTATATTTTTAACCAGTATTTATTAATTCTATGTATTTGTTTAATTCTCAAATGTCTGATAATTTTTTTCCAAATATCAAATAAAAGCATTGTAATCTGGATTATTTGTTTATTTTTCATTAAAAATTAAAAATGAAATAATTATTTTCGTTTTGATTAAAAATCTAATTTATGCATCAAAATTGAATTAGTAACTCTTCTGAAGTAAAAACTGATATTGTGTTGACTACACAGCAAAATTTCCAGTGTTAATTCCACTCCGGGAGAGTTAATTTTAACACTTTACTGGTGTATACAGTTGCAATAAGAATTATTAGCCCCCCTGAATTATTAGCCCCATGTTTATTTTTTCCCCTAATTTCTGTTTAACGGAGAGAAGATTTTTTTCAACACATTTCTAAACATAATAGTTTTAAATGCTCATTTCTAATAACTGGTTTATTTGATCTTTGCCATGATGACAGTAAATGATATTTTACTAGATATTTTTAAGACACTTCTACACAGCTTAAAGTGACATTTAAAGGCTTAACTAGGTTAATTAGGTTAAATAGGCAGGTTAGTGTAATTAGGCAAGTTATTGTATAACGATGGTTTGTTCTGTAGACTATTGAAAAAAAAAAGCTTAAAGAGGCTAATAATTTTAACCTTAAAATGTTTTTTTTTTTTTTTTTAAATAAAAACTGCTTTTATTGTAGCCGAAATAAAACAAATAAGACTTTCTTAAGAAGAAAAAAAAATATCAGACAAACTGTGAAAATTCCCTTGCTCTGTTAATAATCATTTGGGAAATATTTTAAAAAGAAAAAAAATCAAAGGGGGTTTAATAATTCTGATTACGACTGTATATAATCCACAGCGGCGAGAGTTAAATTAACATTTTCAAAAGTGTTAACAATTCAACACTGGCTCAAGAGTTCATTCACATACTTTATAAATGCAATACTGTTCTATTCATGCATTACAAAACATTAAGACTTAATAATTGTTTGTTTAGAGCTTATTAGTCCAGTAATAAACCAATACAAAACGACACAGTTTCACATTTCATTTTTAATCAATGACTGAATGCCATGCATTATGTGTTAACATGAAACTTGTTAGCCCTTGTAGTCATACAGGAATGTTTTGTTTTTAAAAAGTCATTAAAACACTGCCTAAAACAAAGGAAAAGCATAAAAACATATATATTCACATTTGGTCCATTTGCATTTTGAATGTTATAAGGTTTGTTGTGTAAGATCATCAGCTTTCAATCAGAATCAAACTAATTTCCAATAGCCTGAATTTATCACAGTGCACATTTAAAAGTATTATAATGTAAATGTTATAATGTTCAATGTTATAATAAAGTTTTCAACTCAAAAATACATTTTTTTACCTAATACAAGAACGTTGGTGATTTTGCAGAATACTGGCAGCTCATCTTTGATCTCTGTGCACATAAAAATGTTAGAATTAAATTTTATATGTCATAGAAAATATTAAATACAAAATTTAAAAAGAGGAAAGATCAAAAGAAGCAAAAAAAAAAAAAATTGTTGAAATTTTGTAGGTTGTAATTTATTTGCAATATTTTGCTTGAATTTAATTGTATTGTCTTTCAATTTCTCAAAATGCTTTGTGACTTAAATATTATTTTAATAAATATATCTGTTTAATAAATATGTTTTGTTTTAATGCACCAAAATACATTACCAATATTCAAAGAGAAATGGATAAAAATATTTATTTTCAAAATGGGATGTACTCAATTATGCTGAGCACTTTATAATGCTTACTAACTTCATCCTTCTTCGTGCGTAAAACTTTTTCAAACTTAACTTTCTCACTTTTGTGTAATTAGCAAAGAGTAATATGCTGTTAGAAAGCAGTCGGATACAGTTTCTGTTATAGTAAACGTTGTTAGGGATGACAGACAGGATGAAATCTTGTGTTTAGATTAGTGCTGTCTCGCTCGTGCACTCTGTGAACTGTGTCATGGTCAATGGGACTGACTTTGTGAAAGGGAATTGAGAGGGAGGAGGGCAGCATGCAGTACTGTAGTTCTTGTGGCTGTGACTGAAAATGCTGACTAAAGTAAAACAGCATACAATATCTGGTCATAACTGGCACCCTCACATCCTCTTTGTCAGCACATGGGGGCAGAAAAACAATATATAACTGAAAACCATGAGTTTAACAATGTCATGCACTGCGTCTTTTGATTATCGTCATAGAACTAACAGTTTATCCTACGCAGTCCAGAGTAATCAACACTCATTATAAAGAAATACCCCAATTTAATGACCCATTGGAAGTAATTTAGCTTTACTGCATGTGTTTTAGCTCTAAATGCCAGTGTCTGAACTCACAACTGATCTATCTATCTATCTATCTATCTATCTATCTATCTATCTATCTATCTATCTATCTATCTATCTATCTATCTATCTATCTATCTATCTATCTATCTATCTATCTATCTATCTATCTATCTATCTATCTATCTATCTATCTATCTATCTATCTATCTATCTATCTATATCCATCCATCCATCCATCTTATGACCATTTTTATATATATACATACAACAGTTCTGTCTGGATCTTAAATCTGATTGGCTGATAGCCGTGATATATTTAAGTAATATCAGCATCCGTACAGTCTCTTTACCCTTTGTGTATTACTCCGCCTACATACAGCCAGCAACAAGCAGACACTACAGTTTGACAAATATTACTGCTGTTACTCAACAAAATATACTTTTGAGGCTTTTTTAGTTGAGAATGTAGTTGTTTAGATAGCAACTTTGCAGTTTATTTGCAAGAATAGTGCCTATTTTAAAGTAGTTACAATTTCTGAGAGACAGCTGATTGGCGACAGTTGACGTTTTCTGTCCACAAGATGGCGACAGAACTGCATAATAAGCTCTTACGCTTAGAAGATATAACAGTCTGATTTCTAACCATAGCAGATCAAATTAATATTAAACTGGTAAGCACACCAGCCAACACTTCCTTTTTTCATGGGAGTATCCCGTATTTCAGACCAGTCTCCCGCAAACATCCCGTTTTTATTTCTTCCTTAAAAAAACTCCTGTAATTTCACCAACTCCCCTCTTTGGTACAGTCTGTAAACTAAACACCCCCGGGTTGCCAACTTTGTTACTGTACCCGATCGAAGCAGCCGCCCAAAACCCGCTGCATCCTGTTCTCAACCTCACCCTCGAACACCCTCTCCCCCCGGTCTCACTGATTTTCAGAGACATGTTGGCAGGTTATATAATCTCTCTTTTTGTATGTTGTAGTGCTGTATTTGTATTGATTTTCATTATCAGGAATGTGTGCTGCGTTGGCAGATTGAAATAAGCAAAGTCCGCAAGTGTTAAGTGTTTTTCATTATCGCAAACACAACAGCAGTCTGGTAACGTTAGTGGATTCGTTATATTTCGGGGTTAATTATTGTGAAATCGCAATTGCAACAGAGAAATACTGTAGACTGTAACACTGTAAGAAGATATCTCTGTAGATGGATGGCATTTCATGTCACGTTCAGCCTTTTAATCTTAAAGTGTAAGCAAAATCAGCAGTTTTGTCATCACTTTAGACAGAATCATTAAAACACTAGCTCTAAAGTTAGTAATGTTAAAGTTAGTAAAGAGTTAGTAATGGCTTCTGCTGTTTTGACGTCAGCTGCAGATGTGAATGAATGGCGGAAGAAAGTAGTTCCTAATAAAAAAAAGGGTTTTAGACTTTCCATGTTTGATTTTCTTATTTATAAACAGGATTGTGCTGTTGAACTGTTGTATAAACGCAATATCACACTCGTAGCAGTGCGATATGGCTGTGTATCAGCACTGGTGGGATGCTAAGGCACAACGCACGCCTCCCACCAGTGCTGATATATGAGCAATATCACACGAGTAGCACTGCTACGAGTGTGATATTGCGTTTATACAACAGTTTGATGGCATAATTGTGTATATAAAAACAAAATCAAACATGGAAAGTCTCAAAAACCCTTTCTTCCACCTTGGATTCAAATCATAAACTGACAGTTAAACAGCTGAGCAAGCATCTTTTAAACTTTAGATATGTAGTGTCTGCTTTTTGCTGGCTGTATGTGGGCGGAGTAATACACAGGGTAAAGAGGCTGTACGGGTTCTGATATTACTTAAATATATCACAGCTATCAGCCAATCAGATTCGAGAATCAGACAGAACTGTTGTGTATATATATATATATATATATAATTAATTGAGTCAATGGATTTTATGATTGATTTATATCCTGCCTTGGCATATTGAGAGGAAACACTCACTTTCAATCTATATGGAGCATTGCAAATTTTTGGCATCCGGGCAGATGATAAGCTTTGACTGTCTACTGAGCAGAAACAGCTGTTAAAGATTTACAGTATAGGCTGCTGCTGCAAAGTGTTTCTACAGAGTCTACAGGCAGATGGAGCGTTGCTTTTGGACAGAGACTAGACTGGTAATTTAGATGGATGTGGTGATGCCTTAGTGTAGAATGGAACAATGTGATCCCAACACTTTGCTTTCTTTCAGTAGCTGCATTAAAAAAAGACCATTGGTGAAGAGTGCTTGTTGGCTCTTTGGTTTGACCTTTTAGGGCTTTTGAAAAACTCTCTCCGAGGCATTGTTGCTTTTTCAGTGCAGTTGGACTTTTTTAGCAGGAAGTGCTTGTCTCTCAGTGACATTTGGGGGACTGGACACATAAGCTTTTATTTCAGATTTATTCTGTTCTACAAAGGCAAAGTGTGGCAACTCCATATTTGGTCGTAACCTAGTTAAAGTCGTAATGAAATCTCTTCTTTTTTTATGTCTATATTGTAATGCATGTTATAAACAAAGTATCTGTGCATTTTCCTTCATTCATTAATTTTCCTTTGGCTTAGTTTCTATTTCAGGGGTCACCAGAGCGGAATTAAGCGCAAATTATTCCGGCATATGTTGTACACAGCGGATGTCTTTCCAGCTGCAACCCAGTACTGGGAAACACCGTCACAGTCTAACACTACAGCCAATTTAGTTTATTAAATTCAACAGGGGAAAACGGGAGCACCCGGAGGAAAGCAACGCCAACACGGGTAGAATATGCAAACTCCATACAGAAATGCCAACTGGTCCAGCCCAGACTTGAACCAGCGACTTTCTTGCTGTGAGCCACCGTGTAACACCCTCTGTGCATTTTATTTACCTCTATGAGGGGGGTGGGGGTGTAACAGAGGCCGACTAGCGAAGTGCTTTGCAGATAAACCTCACTCCTCTGACCTCAAAAGGTGCACTAGCAACAGACACTAAGGCCGTACTCACACTAGGTACAGTTGCCTCGAACCGGGCCAATGCACGCTTGTCCCCCCTCCCGTCTCCCCCGACGGCCCAAACTCACACCACAATCGGGCCTGGGCACGCTTACGTCATTAATGCTGCGCTGTTCAGTGCAGCACAGTGGAGATTTCTCTAGTTATATTGTTTCAGTTGGTTTGATATGCAGTGACATGCAGGCAAATATTTCGCCAAACAGTCCTTAGGGATGCGGTGACACGCAGTCAGATATTTCGCCAAACAGATCCGCCACTTTTGGCGCTCATAAACAATCATAAAGCTCTCGTGCTGCAGGAATGAGGAGGTCTGCTGAAGGTGCGCAGCTGTGGTGCAGTGAAGGGTTTGTGTATTTAATAAGCTACGGCAGTTTGCATTCACTGGACAGTAAGAATGATTAATAAATCCATTTGAAACAGTCCCTTAAAAGTCACGTCTCGCTTTCAGTTTCGGGCTTTGGCGCGTTTTGCACTCACACTACAAACGTACCGCGCCAAAGCCCAAGTGAACTGCGCTCAGGCCCATCTCTTCCAAATGGGCCAGGGCCGGCCAAGTGTACCGTGCTTGAGCCCGATTCAGCGCACTCACACTTCTCAAACGACCTGGGAAAAGGGCCTGGGCACGGTACGGATGGCATAGTGTGAGTAGGCCCTAAAGGCCATGGTCTTTATTGACTTCCATACAAAGAATCCCCGGTTTGATCCCAGCTCAGACCGGGTTTGGCGCATTAGGTGGGTTACATAAGCGTGTGAACGTCTGTGTCAGGATCTGCAACCAAATGAGTGAAATGAACAGGCGACTTACATATATTTCTTGTGTTTCATTGTCATTGGTTTGAACTAATTGTAATGAGTGACGTGACATTAGGTCTTCCTGGTAGAACTAGCGCTGAAAGCTACATTCATCCTAAACTTTTGAACATTGGTGTGTATTTTTTACAATTTTAAATTTTACAATTTTAAATCCATTATCTGGTTATTTCTTCTGTGGTTTAAAATTGGATATTTACAAAATTTGTAAAAGTTCAAACAGTTTAGAAATTATTAAAAAGTAATTTCTGTCACATTTTACTGAGTCAAATTCATGCTGCTTTTATAATTTGAGCTGTGATGTTACCAATTTGTTGCAAATATACTTGTTGATTCAGTTTGTAACTAATTCTTTCTTTTTGTTCTTAACAGGAGAGCAGTGTTTTTCTGCATGATTCTTTACTGTACATGCTGTTTGAGGCTCGCACAAGCACAATCTGCAGGTAAGTCTGATTTTTCATTCAGGGATTCATGGAACATCATTTTGGTTCATGCAGAATATGTGTCTGCAAAATGTCTGTTCATTTTCTGCCACGGTCTTGACATCTGTGTCATAACCCAGAATGTTACACGGGTTCATTGAAGTCCAAGGACCTCACACTGCCTTGCAGTAAAGTTTGAGGATACTTGACAGGACTTGGATAAATAGACCTCTAATGTTACTACCCACTGGAGTTTTCCATGAGTCAGAGTTAAAGAGGCCACAGGTACTGATTTTCAAGAGCAGTGTGATCCGTATTTGCCAGAATTAAATTTTTTTGCATGATATATGAAGCAGTTCTTGATCAAGAACATATGACTGCTCTGTTTATTTTTCTCCAGTAAACCAGAAGCCACTGTTTGTGCAAGTCTATATGTTTCGTATTTGATTCCAGCCTCGTTTACAGCAAATGGCATTTTGCCTGATTGGATGTCACTTACTAAGTCTACTTTAGATTGAGATATTGGATAGACTTTGTGTTTATTTCAAGAACAAATAATGCTTGTGGTCTATCACTGTAGTCCCTTCAGGCACAGGACGTTAACTTGATGTCATATTGACGGTGTACCTGAATGTACCCCAATGTCGTGGGGACAGTGGATTTTGTTTGGAGATGAAAATCGGGTCAGTACTGTAGACCGATGTAATTGTCAAATATACAACCTAAAATCAACGTCTAATCATGTTACACACTGACATTGTGTGGACGTTACCACTATGACATCTATCAGACCTTGGATTTTAGTCACTTTCCAACACAACCTAAAGTCAACTAAATATCAACATAATTGACGTCGTTATTGGAAGTCAAAGTAACATTATCCTGAGACAATGCCTAGGCACTGAATTTTGGTCACCTGACGTCATGACCTAAATCTAACCTAATATTAATGTCTGCTGGGGTGTCATTAGCTATGTTTCCATCCACCTATTTTTTTATGCGCATTCTAGATGTGTGCATAAAAAAGAGTTGATGGAAATGCCATGATGCGCATACATTTTGAAAATGCGGAAAAAAAACGTATGTGCAAAATGAATTAGGATCAACTTTTTATTCGATAAGAAGAGATTACGATGGAAACGTTTTTAACGAACAATTTCCAGTATGAACATTAAAAAAACATCATGTGATTTTGTCATAAGAGATCGTGTGATATTAAAAAGGTGTGCGAATGGACAAACCAATAGGCTGAGCACACTGTAAAACATCGAAAATGTTGTTTGGTTATTCTAAAGCGCCATATCCATTTCAGTAGTGTATTATATTATTAGTGTGTATGTAGTGTGTCAGTAGTGTATGTACTATATTATTATCAGTGGTGGAAAGAGTACTGAAAAATCATACTCAAGTAAAAGTACCATTACTTGCCCAAAAATGTAGTGCAAGTAGAGTAAAAGTATCTGTTGGGAATATTATTTAAAGTGTGAGTAAAAAGTAGCCCTTTTGAAAGTGCTTAAAAGTAGTGAGTATTACACTGTGAAAAAAAAGTTGATGCATTTACATGAAGTTTGTGCAGGGATGTGTAAACGTAACATTCTGTACTGCATGTGAAAAAAAAGTTGATGCATTTACACAAAGTTTGTGCAGGGATGTGTAAACGTAACATTCTGTACTGCATTTAGCTATCTTCCTATATTTGTTCGTTCTTTCCTTTCATTGTTTGTTTGATTTGTCCTTCCTTCATTCATTTGTTTGTTCACTCGTTTCTTCATTCGTTTCTCTATCCTCCCTAAATTTGTTCACTCAATCATTCATTTCTTCATTATTTTGTTTCTTCCTTCATTTGGTTCTTTGTTCATTTATTCATTCTTTCATTCCTTCCTTTGTTCCACCCTTAATTTGTTCATTCTTACCTTCGTTCCTTAGTTTGTTCAGTCCTTCCTTGACTCTTTGCTACATTTATTTGGTCCTTCCTTCCAGTTTACATATGTTTTGTTGTTTCGTTATTTGAGATGTAGAACACAGAAAAAGCATCCACATAGACAGACACTGAAAGCGTCCGCATAGAGAGACACTGCACATGCTTGCGAAGATCGTGGGTGTTTACAGCGATTTGACCGATATATATGAATCTGTTGCTAAATTGTTAGCGGTGCCAAAAAGCATTTCCCGTTGTTTACGTCCTCAATAAAACAAACCGTTGACGCCAGACACGGTGCATGTTATTGATCAATTTTAACAAATAAAACACTCACAGGTTATGGCTCACAATCCACATCTTCTGCTATTATTGTTGGAGCTGCTCCTTTGAGTTTTAGCCGAATCCAGCACTGAACTGGGAGAGATTCTGGTAGCTGTCCTTTGTCAATTGCTAGAGCTATATATTTTTTATAATTGTCTAGAATATAACTAAATTAAACTGTAAGCACTTCTCTCTTTGTGTCGTGTCTTTTGGAAGCACAAATACAGATACGGAAGAAGCTCTGTGGAAATAGCAGAGTATGAATGCCATTTTAGCTTTCTCTGTTACAGTATTACACATTACAGCGCCTCTGGCCATGCTTCTTCCCTGTGCGGGGCGATGCGCGTAACCTGTAGTAGTTCTGATCTCACCAGCCCGGATGTATTTTTTTCTAGTCCCCAAACTTTGTTCGCTGTAGGCTTCACTAAGCTAACTCTGTAAAAGCCAATGTTTCCCTTTGCATTGAACTTTGAGTGTCTTACATTCAGAGATGTTGTTTATGTTCACACAGCTACATTACACCTCAACTAAAGTTTAAAATATGATATCGTAGCGGACCACCACTTTAAACACCACCACGCGTTCAATGCGTGTTGGCATACTGTCTTCTGAGGCGCAAGTCATTTATTAAATGAAGAAAAGATTAACGCAGCTTTTCCTACCGCAGCAAATTCCCTTTTTACTTCTGATTTTTGGCGTCAGTTAATTAGGAAGTGAAAATTTTGTTCTCTTTGACTCGTTGGACAGAAATGCTGCTTTATTTGCACATTCTTTATGCGATAATCCAGTTTTGCGCATAAATTTAATTCGCATCTTTGGATGGAAACACAGCAATTTTGTGCTTTGTATGCACTAAAAATGAATAGCAATGCATGAACAGAAAGACTAGCATGTGCACATTTTAAATATGGTTTTTGGCTTTGTGTTTCACCCAAGTAGCCTAAACGTATTGCTTCTCATTCAAGGTGTGTCTAGAATTCCCACATCTGCTCCGAACAGATTTTATGTGGGAGGTTCACATCATCCGTCACATTCAGCCTAACTCATTCATGTACATGTAACATATGGCGCTTCGGTGTCAGACATTAATGAAATACAACAGCCATTATGTTTTAAACAAGTCTTGAAAGATGCCTTTGTTCTTGAGTGTATGTTTGAGGCTTTTACCATATGCGAGACACTCCGTATAGCACATTCTCCTCCTGAAACTTCTCTGGGTATCTACAGAATGACTTATGATCAAGTCGTCTTTGTGAGCTGTAGCTGGAGAGATTTTGGAATTCTTCTCCAGCCGTTGCTCTTATCTTTAGTGTGAAATATGATTTCCAGCGTATAACATTGCACTTTCCACAGACGTTTCATTCTTGACATCAATTTCAAGGGCAACTGGAATTCTGGTAGATTTCAGCCTGGTTCTGGGAACTGATTCTGAGTCAAGCAGGCGACGCATTTAACTATCCTATTTCAAAAGCATCGCTCAATGGAACATTAGTGTCTGCAATAGGGCCCTTCTTTTGACTCTTTTTTTTTTTTTTTTTTTTTAAGTTAACCCCAAAAAAACAGTCAATTTTCTCACCCTTAAGCCATCCAAGGTGACAACGATCTATTTTAAAAGAAAAAGTTTAGCCGTAACTGTGGTCCTTTTGATTTGTAAAATGCAAGCCAGTAGCTGCCAATACTTTGAAAGGCAAGAAATGGTTATAAATGCAAAACAACATGAACACCTGTGGCTAGAGCTGTGATGAAAACTGTTCAAGAAATCGATTCTGAGATTGTCAAAATGCATCGATTTTCTCTCTTAAAGCAATTCTGAGCTCAGTTTTTCACAGCCGACGGCGCTCTAGGCTAGTTTCTAACAGCAAAAAGCGCTCTAGGCTAGTTTCTAACAGCAGATGGTGCTCTATAGGCTAGTTTTTGATAGAAGATGGTGCTCTAGGCTAGTTTTTAACAGCTATAGGCTAGGTTTTAACAGCTCATGGTGCTTTAAACTAGTTTCTAACAGCAGATGGCGCTCTAGGCTAGTTGCTAACAGCAGATGGCACTCTAGGCTAGTTTCTAATAGCCGATGGTGCTCTAGGCTAGTTTCAAGTAGCAGATGGTGCTCTAGGCTAGTTTTTAACAGCAGATAGCGCTCTAGGCTAGTTTTTTACAGCAAATAGCGCTCTAGGCTAGTTTCTAATAGCTGTAGGCTAGTTTTTAACAGCAGATAGTGCTTTAAATTAGTTTCTTACAGCAGAATGTGTTCTATAGGCTAGTTTTTAACAGCAGATGGTGCTCTAGGCTAGTTTCTAAATGCAGATAGAGATCTAGGCTAGTTTCTTACTGCAGACTGTGCTCTATAAGCTAGTTTTTAACAGTAGATATTACTCTAGGCTAGTTTCTTACAGCAGAATGTGCTCTATAGGCTAGTTTTTTAACAGAAGATGGCGCTCTTGGCTAGTTTCTAACAGCTGATGGTGCTCTAGAATAGTTTCTAAGAGCAGATGGTGCTTTAGGCTAGTTTCTAAGAGCAGATGTGCTCTAGGCTAGTTTTTTTAACAGCAGATGGCACTCTAGACTAGTTTCAAATGCAGATGGTGCTCTAGGCTAGTTTTTAACAGCAGATGGCGCTCTAGGCCAGTTTTTAACAGCAGATGGTGTTCTAGGCTAGTTTTTAACAGCAAATAGTGCTTTGGGCTAGTTTCTATTAGCTGATGGCACTCTAGGCTAGTTTCTAACAGCAGATGGTGCTCTAGGCTAGTTTTTAACTGCAGATAGTGCTTTAGGCTGGTTTTTAACAGCAGATGGCGCTCTAGGCTAGTTTCTAACAGCAGATGTTGGTCTAGGCTGGTTTTCAACAGCAGATGGTGCTCTAGGCTAGTTTTTAACAGCAGATGGCGCTCTGGGCTAGTTTTTAACAGCAGCTGGCGCTCCAGGCTAGTTTTTAACAGCAGATGGCAGTCTAGGCTAGTTTTTAACAACAGATGGCGCTCCAGGATAGTTTTTAAATGCAGATGGTGCTACAGGCTAGTTTTTAACAACAGATGGCGCTCCAAGCTAGTTTTTAACCGCAGATGGCGCTCCAGTCTAGTTTTTAACCGCAGATGGCGCTCCAGTCTAGTTTTTAACCGCAGATGACGCTCTATGCTAGTTTTTCACAGCAGATGTTGGTCTAGGCTAGTTTTTAACAGCTGATAGCGCTCTGGGCTAGTTTCTATTAGCAGATGTTGGTCTAGGCTAGATTTTAACAGCAGATGGTGCTCTAGGCTCGTTTCTACCAGCAAATGTTGGTCTAGGCTAGTTTTTAAACAGCAGATGGTGCTCTAGGCTAGTTTTTAACAGCAGATGGCGCTCAAAGCTAGTTTCTAACAGCAGATGCCACTCTAGGCTAGTTTCTAACAGCAGATGGTGGTCTATCTATCTATCTATCTATCTATCTATCTATCTATCTATCTATCTATCTATCTGTCTGTCTGTCTGTCTGTCTGTCTGTCTGTCTGTCTGTCTGTCTGTCTGTCTGTCTGTCTGTCTGTCTGTCTGTCTGTCTGTCTATCTATCTATCTATCTATCTATCTATCTATCTATCTATCTGATTGTCTGTCTGTCTTTCTGTCTGTCTGTCTGTCTGTCTGTCTGTCTGTCTGTCCATATATCTATTTTTTAAACCTAATGATGCGTTCTACATTATTATTCTCAGTTTCAAAACATATATAAATGGTCATAAATTTGCAATAACAACATTCAAAACCAGTTTTCTAACCCTAAAAACAATCATCAAGATGTGGGAAAATTTAAGTTGAGTAAACTGGTCCTAACTGACTCACACTGTCCTCAAGTTAGCAGGTTGTGCTTATTTAATATTATGATGTTTATGACTCTTTCATGCAGCACTTTTAACTGTTATTTGCAAGTAATCCATTGGATATTAGTTGTGTGTTCTGTTGAGGTCCAACGCTGGTGTTATTGTAAGAGTTTTGTGTCATGTGATTTATGTGAAGTTATGCAGATCATTTATTTTGTAAATCAAGAGCAGTTGTTTTCCTGCTGTTTGTCAGGAGATGATCTGTCACCTCTTTCCGACGTTCTGGATAATTAAGCGCCTAATATGTTAGTAACTCTTTTTAGATTTGTTTACAACACCACTGCAGACATAGTTCTGTCTTTCAACAATCCCACACAGTCTGCAGGATATCATCTGTTAAGTTACGCATTGGGGGAAAAGTCTTCGCAAATTATTCCATTTACATGGGCTTTTTATTTGAAAATCAATGGGTATATTTTATAACAGCAAATATCGAGCTGTGTTTTGTTTAGTCAGAACTTGTTTGGGTTATATTTGGTTTTGTGATGCACATTACTATTGTTTTTTTATTTTAAAAAGTGTGCAGCCTTAAGACACATGGCATTGGCTTGTCATTTTATTTATTACCTTTTGTCAAATTTACTCTATAATAAGACAGAATGCTGTCAGTAAAAATAAGTGGTGGACAGAACAAAGTATTTTTACTTCATTAATGTACTTAAAGGTCTCGTGAAGTGTTTTGAAAAGTGCATTTTTTTTCGATGTTTGACGTAATCTCAACCGAAACACGAAGAGGGGGTGGGACATAGTGTAGCCCCTCCCCTTTAAAAAAAAATCCAATAGCGTTTATTTTATCTCAGCTCTGCCAGTGAGATTGGTTAAGCTCAAACGCATCGAATAATTTTTATAAAGACGTTTGAGATGCACACCCCCTCTCGCTTCACTTGACCTAATTCATTGCAGACCTCTAACGATTTTGTAGTAGAGCTGATGAATCTGTAAAACTCACATTTACTAGAGCAAGCCCACACAGTGTTATTATTCTACGCGTAACAGTATCAGCAGAGTATTTCGTGAAGCAATACCCCAGATGAAACATTACCTTTGCCGCATGTGTTCGACATATGCTTTTGTTAATGATCTGTTCCTGTAATGAGCTCAGTGTGTGTGTGTGTGTGTGTGTGTGTGTGTGTGTGTGTGTGTGTGTGTGTGTGTGTGTGTGTGTGTGTGTGTGTGTGTGTGTGTGTGTGTGTGTGTGTGTGTGTGTGTGTGTGTGGCAGACCTACAATTAGCTACGATGACATCCTTTTTGCTTCTAAATCTTTTTTTTTAGACAGATTAGTTTTCATCTAAAGATGTGAAATGCGTTAAACTGGGATATCGCAAATAAATCACCATTTCGATCCAGTGAGTTGAAGAGAACAAAATCGTCACTAATTGAATATATATATATTATATATATATATATATATATATGTATAGATGAAGAACAAACAGACAAAAATACAATCCAACCAAGCGGCAGCTAGCTTGAAGGTCATATATATATGTGTATATGACCTTCTTGCTAGCTGCCGCTTGGTTGGATTGTATTTTTGTCTGTTTGTTCTTCATCGTCCAGTGCATCACTTCCTCTTTTTTTCACCTTATTATTAATATCACAGCTATTTGGCCATTTAAAGAAACTTTTCACACTCAGCTGCTGTGACAGTTTTGCTTCCGTACGCAGCAGTGACAAAGAGGAGACAAAACAAGGGCAATCGCCATCAGCTGCACAGGAGTGGGAATTACAGTTAGCTACAAATTACAATAGATCACCCTAAGCATAATCTAAGGATCACCTTCAGATTTTTCCATCGCTGCTGAAAAAAACCTGTCAACGATGGAAAATATTCAGTTAACGCGACCTCTGATACAGAGTAATGTAACAGAGTGGAGACATAACAGGCTTACGCTTGTCAGATACTACGTGATGACGTCACTGATATGCAAATTAGTGTGTGACGTAATCTGGCAACATTTAGCTACTTTTCGGGCTGGCTTTAGCTACTTTTCATTTGAAGTAGTGTGTAACACTGTGTGCCTGAGAAGATGCAGATGAAATGCAATGAACATGTTGTGGCTTTTTTTTTTCCGCCGTTTAGACAATTTTGGACGTAATAATAAACACCTTGATGACAGACTTTGGCTGGGGGATTTAGAATGACCAAAACAACATTTTAGATGTTTTACAATGTAATCAGTCCATTGGTTTGTCCATTATTGCCATCCCATAGCAGACATTCTTGTTATCACATGATCTGTTAAATTAAATTACATGACTTTTTTAATATTCCAAAAAAAAAAAAAAGGTGGTTGGAAAAGAGGTCTGCATTACCAAAATTTCCGAATAAACCACGCAAGTTGTTGGTAACCGGTTTAATTTTGGATGGGAGTGGGTGGTCTAACAATATCGCTCCCGACTCCTGAGCGAGCGAGCACGCGTATGTATGCGTGTGAATGAGACAGCGTGATGCTGCGTTTAGCTTGTTTGTTGCTGTGTGTGTGTGTGTGTGTGTTTGTGTGCATGCACGCGAATGAGAGGTGTGTGTGTGTGTGTGTGTGTGTGTGTGTGTGTGTGTGTGTGCGAATGAGATTGAGAGCTTTTTGCTGTCTGTGTGTGTGTGTGTCTGTGTCTGTGTGTGTGTGTGTGTGTGTGTGTGTGTGTGTGTGTGTGTGTGTGTGTGTGTGTCTGTGTGTCTTTGTGTGTGTGTGTGTGTGTGTGTGTGTGTGTGTCTGTGTGTCTGTGTGTCTTTGTGTGTGTGTGTGTGTGCGTGTGTGTGTGTGTGTTTGTGTGTGTTTGTGGTGATGCCTATGTGTGTGGGTCACTTGCTTGGTGCTTGTGTGTTTGTGTGTGTGTGTTTATAAAGTCAGCTTGTTATAGGCTGTCTGGTCTCTGTATAGCTGGGTGGTTTTCGGTTTTGTTCTCCCCCCACTCGTTAGCAGGAACGGGTGTGGCGGGTAGAAAATGGGGCGGGTCGAGCAGCGGGACAACAAATGCTGAATATAAGCGGGAGAGGTCGGGTTCGGGCTAAAACATGGCGGGAAAGGGCTTCAAAATTTAGTCCTACGTAGATCTCTAGTTAGAAACATAGCTGTATATCTTCATATAGTGATTATTGCAGTAATATTTGTGGCTTTCCGTTTTTGTAGATGTGGACGTGCTGCAAAGACTGGGATTGGTTGGGAAAAGACCACCTCAAGGCTTCATCCCTATTAAATCAGGAGTCATCCTAACCACAAGGGCGAGAATTGACGTCCCGGTGAGCTCCGTCATTCCTGTGTCACTGGGCTCGACGTTCTCTATCATCCTCAGCGTATGTTCCCATCGCATAAACAGTGCTTTCCTTTTCACCATTGTGACAAAGAGGAAAAGACTGCACCTAGGGGTGCAGTTCATCCCTGGACAGATATTAGTCTACCTAGGCCAAAACAGCTCTGTAAATTTTGATTACAATGTTCACAATGGCCAGTGGCACAACCTGGCTTTGGAAATCCAAGGCCAGAAGGTTACTTTATATACTTCCTGTGGGAATACAAGCATACAGGCAAATCTGGATTTTCAAACTGAGGAAACGCTGGATCCAGAGGGCTCCTTTCGCTTGGGAAAAATGAGCCAGAACTCAGTGCAGTTCGAAGGAGCCATCTGCCAGTTTGACATTCATCCCTCTGCTCAGGCAGCTCACAATTATTGCAAGTACATTAAAAAACAATGCAGGGAGGCGGATACTTATCGGCCAAACCTTCCTCCTCTTCTACCACTATTACCCCTGGACCCTAATACATCTACCATTCAAACCCCCAAAGTTGTAACAGATTTTAACGAAAGACATCTTTCACTAACACGAGATGAGATGAATATTAATCATGAAGGCCAAACCACGGTGCCACCAATGGTAACACAGCCCACATTACAGCTCCCCCTGCAGACCACAGCGCAAACTACTGCCTCCATTAGGAACAGGACTTCACAAATATCTCCAAAGCCAACTCAACAAAACAGGAAGAAAGCAAAAAAAGAACGTAACAAGTTACATATTTTAAAAGAGCACCAGATTTCTGTCACTGACAGTCCAACAAGTCAACAAAAAAACCAAGTAGATATTCCAACCACAACAACACCTGAACTTTCTAGTACATTCAGGGTGTCAGAAATGACGACATTAGCAGCACAGAGACCTCTGCCAAAGGAAACCTCCTTATTTGAAGCCAAAGCCACCTTTTTTGAGTCTGTAACCCCTGCAGCTATGGATGGTTTGCAAACGTTTGACTTGGAACCGACCCAGTATTCCTTCTTGGAGTTAACCGGACTGAAAGGAGAACCCGGACTACCGGTAGGAGATTTTTTTGTTGTACAGATATGTTAGTATTTAGTGATGTTGGTCAGAACCCTTTTGTGCATCTTTATTATTTGTAAAGTTTAAATTGGACTGACGGAGGTCAAGCTATTGAATGTTTTGCTAACTTTAGGCCTCAAACTAGTCTAGAGGTCTGTTACACAAAACAAGTTGACCAAACTCTGGGTTTCTGAGTAAGCTGTCATTAAATCCCTATTGACTAGTGGTGTAATGGATAACAAATCTCATGGTTCGGATTAGGCATGGGCCGGTATAAGATTCTGACTGTATGATAACCTTGGACAAAAATGTCACGATTTCAGGGTTTCGCGGTATTGTGATTACTGCTCTGAAATATATTCTTTTTTTTTACCTTTGAGTAAAAAATAAATAAATAAAAAAAATTCCCTTTTAAACAGAATATATCTTATTTTAACAGTAAACATTTCAGGCTAAATTATTCATTGACTTCTGCTGTCTTCATTTACTTTAAAAACAGATTTTCTTTATACAATTTAAAACAGCATCTTTGGAGAGCTTTTCTGCTGGATATACTGCTATCCAAAAAAAGAAAAGTCAATAAAAATCTTATACATATCTTAGAAATGGTATAGCAGAAAATTTGGATGGTTTTAAAACCTTGACCTTTTCCAAACTGCGGTATACTTTCATTTTAATATTATTATATTTTCATTTTTATATTATTATTTTTTTTTATATTCATTTTGTTCCACTAAAAAGGGTCATAACAATCATGTTTATGACAGATTTATGACTAAGTTATGTTTATGATTAAGTTATGTTTTCTTTATAATAGAGCTGCAACTAAAGATTATTTTTGTAATTGAAAAGTTGGGCAATTGTTTTTTTTTATTAGTTGATTAATCGGATAAAACTAAATACTGTCTTAAACAGTTTCTCTAAAATTAGGGTATTATTTACGTATAAACATCTACTTTTAAGAATGCAAAGGCCACATATTCAGTTTAATAAATTTTAATTTTGACATTTTGGACCTCTGAAAAACAAAGTTTGTTTTTAAACACTAAAACTTCTCTAAATACCCAAAATACAAATAAACAAATAAAAGCAAAACGATAGTTGTACTCCTATCATATTCACATTACGAAATTAAGACATAAACATGCTGACAATAAGATATTAAGCAGCAGGATGTATTGACATATCAAAATTATAAAAATTAAACAACAAACTCTTACTATTATTAAAAAATATGGTGGCACAGTGGCTTGTTGGTTAGCACTATCGCCTCACAACAAGAAGGTCGCTGGTTCGAGTTGGTATTTCTGTGTGGAGTTTGCATGTTCTCCCTTCGTTCGCCTGGGTTTCCTCCGGGTGCTCCGGTTTCCCCCACAGTCCAAAGACATGCGGTACAGGTGAATTGGGTAGGCTAAAATTGCCCATAGTGTATGAGTGTGTATGAGTGTGTATGTGTTTCCCAGTGATGGGTTGCAGCTGAAAGGGCATCCGCTGCATAAAACATAGGCTGGATAAGTTGGCGGTTCATTCCTCTGTGGCGACCCCAGATTAATAAAGGGACTGAGCCGAAAAGAAAATTAATGAATGAATGAAAAAAGGCATAATAACAACTATGTTTATGACGGATTTATAACAAGTTATGTTTTCTTGATAATAAGGCTGCAACTAACGATTATTTTCATAATTGAAAAGTTGGGCGATTTTTTTTTTTTCTTTTTTTTTCTTTTTTCTTTTTAGTTTATTAAATGCTTATATTATATAAATAATTTCCTCTTGGTGCTCTGGTTTCCCCCACAGTCCAAAGACATTGGTTAAATTTACAAAATTGACCGTAATGTATGAGTGAGTGTGTGTGAATGTAAGAGTGTATGGGTGTTTCTTAGTACTGGGTTCTGGCTGGAAGGGCATCTGCTGCGTAAAACATATGCTAGAATAGTTGGCAGTTCATTCCACTGTGGTGACCCCTGATAAAAATGAATTTCTTTTTGAAACAGAGGTAGAAATCAGCTGAAATACTAATATTCTACTGCTGCTGTGGTTTGCCTGTTTTAAGTATGTGGCGTCTCACTCTATTAGTTTAATTAAGCTAATTTAAAGTATAGTATTACCTTAAGTCTCTTAAAAATACCAGAGGATGTGACCTTTTTATAACGGTGCACTCTCTGCTACAATATGTGCTGCAAATTCTGAAAAAGTTGAAGTCATTTGACTATTAGCCTAGTAAAATCATTCATGTATTTTCAGTAAAATGTTATTCTAGCTAGATTTTCAGTGCTTATTTGAGAGAATGTGGAGATTTGTTGTTGAAACACTCAAAAGCTGAGTCAGGTTACCACAGCATAACAACAAGGTGTTCGGCCTGCAGCAGACCACTAGCACTTCATGCTATGAAGACCATTTTGGTTCTTTTTAAACAGTGTCTTATGGTGGCCAGATGGCAAGTGGGCTGCTTTGCTTATTTTAAAGCATGGTGAAATGTGAATTATTGGCTGAAGCCATGTGTTTTCTGTACCATGGCCTTGTCGTCTAACTTCATGTGTTATATTTAAGTGCTGACTGTTGCATTGCAATAATATGGGTTCATTTTCATTTGGTTTCCATTAGCTTTTAAAGAGTTTAGTGCGTAATGCGCCACACACTACCCAACTACATCTTTTACCAGTTAAACAACCTTGTCTGAGTGCAACTGCTGGGTGAAGGCTGGAAAATGGTGTCATCATTGTTGCCTTTGAGCATTTGGTGGTCTTGGGCTTAAGCCTAGTTTATAAAATCCTTTGAAAAGGCATTACAGGCCGGTGGGTTTCTTTGGACGTGCGATGCTTACACACTTTTTCCCTTGTAGTTAAAGAAGCCAGGTCACAAGCCAGAGGGTGAGAGGACACACAGTGTATATATATATATATATATATATATATATATATATATATATATATATATATATATATATATACATACAAATAACGGCAACTTTAGAATGCGAAAGTAAAACCTGAAGTCTGGACATTTTAGGAGATTCAGAAACTTCCATCGAATGCATTTTGGCGGAAAAGGTGCGTCTCAGTGGGTTTGCAGTGCACGTGAGAATTTCTGTATGAGTGACAGATCGCACACACATAGAACCAGCAGTAGGAAACGTGCAGAGCGAGAGAAGATTTTTTTTTTTTTTGAGATGGCTGTCAAATTGATGCTGATTCAGGCTTCTGGATGGGATGAAATTAAGTTTGCTATTGCGCCATCCAGTGGACACATTTGGAACAGCAGTATATTTATTAAAAAAATTCAGCTCACAGAATCATCTCGCGGGCCGCATTAAATTCGTTTGCGGGCCTGATACTGCCCTCGGGCCGTACGTTTGACATCCCTGGTCTAGGGGGTCGAATCGAGATTGCAATCTTTTTTTGATTAATTGTGCAGCTCTACTAACTATATTCTGATTGTAAACAGAGTTTAAAACTATTCTCATTTCATCGCAAGTTTTCTGTCTGGCTTAAAGATGTTCTGTGCATGCACATGATCAATTGTGCGTTATGAAAGCGACTTGATATTGGCTTGAAAGTCTGCCTACCTCATTTAATAGCAGTATGCAGTGGGTTATGGCTATTATATACAGTAACAGTGAAACCCAGAACTCTTTTCCAACAACAAACAACAACCAGATGTGCTGTTCAGTATGGCTGTCACACAGACGACACTGTGCATTTTCAGAAGAGATCCCCCTCAAGCTACTACTATAAAAGGCCTTGTTTCCTTCTTTTCTAATCTTTTCATTCCTTCTCGGAGGAAAGAGAGATTGCTTTCATTCAGGATATTTGCCACGTGGAAGAGAATGAGTCCGAGGCTCAGTAGAGCTCTTTTCTACTCTCTCTGGTGCTCCAAAATGACCATATTAATGTCATTCATATCAAAGTACACATTATCTCCTGGTTTATTATGTTGATTTTACTCCTTAGAACCCTAATGGTTATAGCGATGTTGAGTGAGAGCGCTCAGTTTATTGCACAAAAACTACATGAGTCAATATAGTCATGTTTATTTGGAGTTTCTGAAAAGCTTAGGCCTTTAAATTATCGTTTATTAGCGAGTGTTCCTTTCAAAATGAGTAGAAACAGGATGTCTGCAAACATCCTAGCAGCATCGGGTTATGTTTGAGCATGTGGGATCTTGCCAGGTCTACAGGTGGTGTGAACATTGCCAGGAATTGTCTTGCAGTATTTATTTGTAAGCAGCGTTTTCCATTCGCTCGAAGTTCTTCTCTTTATGTGCACACCACTTGGATGGCAGCCTACACATTTTTTCACTAATGGAAGGCAAAGTCCAACTCTTGCTGCTACGTTATATCAAGGATAATGTAATGAGTAAAGTGCTTTTCTGAAAATGCCAGACATTTGTGATCAAGATAGAAGAGAGATACTAATATAAAGACCTAAGTTTTTTTTATTATTATTTTAGTGTAATTTATGCCACATGCAGATGAAATGCTGGATAAACAGTTTCATTCATTTTCCTTAGGCTTAGTCCCAACCACCAACTATTCCAGCATATGTTTCACACAGCGGATGCCCTTCCAGCTGCAATCCAGTATTGGGAAACACCTATACACTCTCACATTCATACACTATGGCCAATTTTGTTTATCCAATTCACCTATAGCGCATCTCTTTGGACTTGTTGGGGAAACCGGAGCACCAGAAGAAAACCCACGCCAACATGGGGAGAATATGCAAACTCCACACAGAAATGCCATCTGGCCCAGTCTGGACTCGAACCAGCGACCTTCTTGCTGTGAGGCGACAGTGCTAACCACTGACCCACCATGCCACCATATCCAATTTCATTCATTCATTCCTTTTTCTTCGGCTTAGTTCCTTATTTATCAGAAGTCACCACAGTGGAATGAACCGCCAACTATTCCGTCATATGTCTTACGCAGCGGATGCACTTCCAGCCGCAACCCAGTACTGGGACACCAAGCAGCAACCTCCCGCTTTCCCTCAGGAAGCCAATATGGAAGTAACTGGCAGCTAGCTTTCTGCAACTCTCACATGGTCGCCCACTGAAGCTAAGCAGGGCTGTGCCCGGTCAGTACCTGGATGGGAGACCACATGGGAAAGCTAGGTTGCTGCCGGAAGAGGTGTTAGTGAGGCCAGCAGGGGGCGGCCAACCTGCAGTCTGTGTGGTTCCTAATGCCCCAGTATAGTGACAGGGACGCTATACTGCTCAGTGAGCACCGTCTTTCAGATGAGACGTTAAACCGAGGTCCCGACTCTCTGTGGTCGTTAAAGATCCCAGGATGTCCTTCGAAAAAGAGTAGGGGTTTAACCCCGGCGTCCTGGCCAAATCTGCCCACTGGCCTCTGTCCATCATAGCCTCCTAACCCTCCCCATATTCAATTGGCTTCATCACTGTCTTCTCTCCACCAATCAGCTGGTGTGTGGTGTGCAGTCTGGCGCAAAATGGCTGCCGTCGCGTCATCCAGGTGGCCAACTTTACAGCAGAAAAAACACAGCCTGGTACAAAAAAAAATTTGGTTAATACAGTTAATATTACCCTTCATCACAACTGTGAGGGGGGTGAATTTTTTTTAGAACTCATCTGTTTCCTATATATTAAGTTATATTAAGTTTGCATAATTAAGGGCGTGGCCACTTGAGTGACAGCTAGGTCTCGTTGGTCGCCGTCACATCACCTCAGCTGAATCCTGCAGATTAGCCACTGAACTCGGCATATTTATCGTATTTCTGTGTTGTTTTATGTGGCTTTACACAGTCAACTGCCTTTTGGACTTGTTTCCTACAATTATTAGATATCATGGCATGCTGAGTTCACTTAATTGTGCTTACAAACCATTCACGTGGCCTCCGTTTCCCATGTGAGTAAAAAGTTATATACTTATATACCATCTCTATACATGTATTTGTTTTATTTAAGATCATTTATCGTTTATATTTATATTTAGAGCTGTAATGCACTCCAGAATCTGTCAGATTGATTAGCTGTAGGCTCTAGAACAGTCATCTGAAGCGTTGTCATACAGTGTTATGCTGGATTTCATCAATAGTCTTGCATTAACTAACACAGACTATATCTGAAGTGTTTGGAAGTAATTTGCGTTTTCCTCCTGTTGAAAAAAGGCATAAGAACAATGTTTAGTGGCTCAATGTATTACTACAGTATTTTTAAAAGTCTAAACACTTTATTGATATAGTGTACAACCAAGCACAAGTGGTCAGAATACAAACGAGTCACAGGTGATAAAGTATTAAGCGTTCTCCCAAAGTAAAATGTGTCTAAGCCAGGTCCAAGCAAAATGCCAACAGTGTCTGTAGCTCCGCTCACTCTCCGCCTCTTTGCCCTTGTTTGGTATCTCGCCATGGGTGTGATGACGCGCGAACAAAATGTCGATGCGCCTACTTGTGGCTGCTTTTGCGCTCTTTAGAAACCTATGGGTGACGTCACGGACACTACGTCCATATATTTTACAGTCTATGGGAAACACCCACACACTCTTAAATTCACACACACTCATGCACTACGGCCAATTTAGCTCATCCTATTCACTTATAGTGCATGTATTTGGACTGTGGGGGAAACCGGAGCACCTGGAGGAAAATTGGCTAAAATTGACTTAGTGGCCACTTAACAGTAGATGTGTTTCCATAATTGTTTAAGTACATCAGATTAGATTCAAATTCACTAATAATTAGACTGTATGAGCATCTTGGCATTTCCGTTCAGCATTCTTTGTGTCACAGCACATCCTACAATGCGCATAATACCAATAGGTGGATGGAAACAGAGCCACTGCCTTCATCCAGTAAGGGGATTACTGTCTTGTTTGAGAGCTCTTTCAGTGTCAGCAGGTAGATATTTAACACTAAATGAACCTTTTTGTCATGATTTTCCCTCTCTTCTACTCTTTCAGGGACCACCAGGACCTCCGGGCCAGCCAGGATTACCGGGAAAGAGAGGTCCCCGGGTAAGTGTGTCACAATCTTTCACTTACTTTCTCATGTCTATTCTTCTTAGCCCTGGCTTAAGTGATCTAAGTATCCACTTCAGTCTGCCTAATATTTCTCTGCATCTTTTGTCTGCCAGATGTGGATTTAAAGGTGATGAAATTGGCATTTGGACATTGCTCATCACTGGCAGTTACGCAGTAAACCACTGTTTCAGTTTCAATATCACTCTAATAGTTACAGCAATTTTACTAGTAAACCAGAATAACATGTCTGGGGACTCAGAAGGGCTTAAAACATTTTAAAGTAAGCTATTGGTTTAATAGTCCATGTGTTTAAAATATTTCATAGAATTTATGCCTGTATGTATTTTTAGTGGGTCTTAGGAACATGGAACTAATAGTAGTCTATGATTAATGGCTGAGCTTAGTTACCACTAAACCCTTACGACCCATATCTGAGTCTAAAACCTGTACATTTACATTTAGTCATTTAGCAGATGCTTTTGTCCAAATCTAATTACAATTGAGGAGGCATTCAGCGATTCAACAAGAAGAGGCAATACACACAAGAAGTGCTAGTTATACAAAGTAACCTGTTTGTAGAATTTAGTGCTAGAGTAGGAGTGTTTTTTTAGAGGGAGGGAGAAAAAGTGAAACAAACAAATTGACAAAACATTAAAATATAATTATGATGAAAAACCAAAAACTGAATTCAACCTCCAGACTAAACTTCAATGTTATTCGGCCCTAAACAGAACCACACAGCTGGCAAATTATTTATCATTAAAACAATTAAAAGAAAAACACGTCCTTTCTAAATATCGCCTCTGTGATCATGACCTAGAAATAGAAAAGGGCAGACATTAAAAATCCTGGACGCCTAAAGAACAGAGATTATGTAAACAGTGTGACACAAACCAAATAGAGGATGAAACACACCTCCTTCTGTTTTGCCCCACATACACCACGACTAGAAAAATATTTTTTCACCTATTTGAAACATTGACTAATTCATTTATTAATTTAAATGTCTCAGAAAAACTTTACCATGTAGAGAGGATGAATTGACATATAGACTAGCTGTAAAATATGTATTATTATTATTATTATTATTATTATTGTTGTTGTTGTTGTTGTTGTTATATTTATCAAATGTTTTCTGTCTTTTTTGTTATTTCTTATCTGCTGTATTATTATTTTATTTATTTATTTATTTATTTATTTATTTATTTATTTATTTATTTATTTATTTATTTATTTATTTATTTATTTATTTATTCATTTATTGTTTTGATTTTTTTTATGTCATGCCAATAAAGCAACTTGAACTTGAAAACTTAAGAGAAAGTGCTTTTACAGGTGAGGATGTTATTCACTGGGGTTCAGGTGTTCCCAGAAGAGATTGCTTTGTAGCTGTCCTTTGAAGGATACCAGTGACTCCACAGGCTGAGTGGGAAGATCATTCCACCAGTGTGGAACATTAAATGAAAAGGTTTTGGAAAGTGACTAGGCCCACTCCAATTCTACCCCTACCTCTTCCCAATTCTCTTTAGCTTGAAGGCGTAGGGCTAAGGGGAAAGGCTAGATACACTTTGAAACAGAGATCTTTCAGGACTACACTCAAAACCAAGTGGTACGAACATTTCCCAGAATACATAGGCTTTATTTATCAGGGGTCGCCACAGCGGAATGAATTGCCAACGATTCCGGATTATATTTTACACAGAGGATGCCCTTCCAGCTGCAACTCAGTACTGGGAAACACCCATACACACTAATTCACATACACACTCATGCACTATGGCCAATTCATCCGTTTCGTTTTACCCAATTCACCTATAGCGCATGTCTTTGGACTGTGGGAGGAAAGCAAAGCAAACCCACGTGAACATGAGGAGAACATGCAAACTCCACACAGAAATGCCGAGTCGCTGACTCGAATGAGCAACCTTCTTGCTATGAGGCGACAGTGGTAACCACTGAGCCACCATCCCACCCCCTCTCTAAACACGACAACGACAAAAAGAGTCGTTTTGAGGCGTTGCGCTACGCTGTTTAAATAGCAAATGCATTAGCGCTCATATGTGCGCCCATAGGCGTTCTGGTCTAAAAAGGAAGGCGTTCTAAGGCGCACGGCTGGCGCGTTGCTATTTTGAGAAACCATAATAGATTTTTCATTAGACCAAAACTAACCCGGTCTAAACTCCTGCGCAGAGTTGCGCCTCGCTTACGCACTGCTTAATACACACAAGATAGCAATAGGCAAATATCTTTACATATGAAAACATTTAAAAATTAAGGATATATATAGGATATAATAAGAATAGATATAGAATATAAATATAAAGGATTAAAATATTACAAAACATATTACTTTCTAGCCTACATAAATATGAAAAATCACTGCTTTATATCTTCTTCATCTTGGGAGGCTTTTTCAGTTCATTTAAAACAATTTGCTTTTGTATATGTTATTATTATTCGCAGTATTATTTATTATATCCATATTTATATTTGTTTTATTAAAAACAAGCTTAGATTTGGCCACCTGCAGGTTTTAGACCATATGGGGCACAGCATGTGTTTTAGGATATAACTCAGGTTTTTGAGCACATTTTGTTATTATTATTCATTTATTCATTTGCTGGAAATTAGAACTGAATTTAGAAATAGTTTTGAAACGAATATTTGCGCTTAACAAACAAAAGTATTTATTTATAGACTAATTGATGTCTGTGCGTAAAGGTTTCCCTATCCAAGAGCGAATGTGAAAGTAGTTCCATTATGTCTCATTCTCACGCAGTAGATGCTCTGTTTAACAGTTTTCTGTTAAAAAACTGTTAACTGTTTGCTTGTGAAATGCTCATTTTTTCCACTTAGACTTACTTTGCGTCCTGTAAATAGCGAATGCGCTCTTGGCGCGACGCAGCTTACTCTTAAAGGGAATGGGAGATGAGACTCTAATTGGTTTATTCTCAAAACACACCTATAACTCATTAAGAAAATAAACTCAACCCTTTTAGACCATGCGCCAAGGCAGATTTCCCGTCCTTAAATTAGCAAAAACGTGTCCTGACACGCCCTGAAAGCATTTGCGCCCTGCGTTTTGCGCTCTGCACATAGACCGTCAAAATAGACCCCTAAACTTTACTTTGGTCGAAACAGGATGTTTTAGTTAACTCTACTAAACTAGAATTACTCCAATTAAAACTAAATCCAAATGTAAAAATGAAACAGAAATGTAAAAAAAAATAACAATAATAAAAGGTAAACTGAAATGTACAGTAAATGTAAAAATAATGGTGAAATAAAAATGCAAAACTACAAAAACCCTGTAACTCAGTGAGATCTGTCTTTGTTACAAACTGATCAGCAGGATGAGTAAGATGCTTGTAGAAATGGCTCTGTTTCCTCAGTGAGGTTGTAATTGAGAGTGAAAGAAAGAGCGAGACAATGAGATACTGTATCAGTTAGTCAGAGATTCAAAGAGACTTCCCTGGGTGGAAATCTAGATGTTTTGTGTGTAAGATACCTGCCCTGGCCTATGCGTCTGCCCTTTAGAGAGGCCCCTGAAGGCTGGACTATGGGAACTCAATCTGTGGAGCTAAAGAAAGGACCCTTTGTAGCAGTCTTATTAAGGCATTTAAAGCCTCACCGGTGCTCACTGGATCTTAAGCTCTCCAGATTGGATGGTCAGGAGCCTTGGGATCCCATACCATTGCACTAAATGCAACAAAGTACCAAGAATATTCCATAAGACACCTGGAGCCTCAAGTATCAACGCTGCGTATGCACAAAAACTTTGCGTACGCACAAAAACTTTGCGTACGCCAGATTTCATGCTCATGTTTGGTCCAAGCCAACTTCACGTATGGCGTACATGCATTTCTGGTGTGTGTTTGTTGTTTTTCCATTGGCGACTCCTAGAGCCAATTTGTTAAATTGCACACTACAAAGTATCTTTGAGCCGTGCATTAGCAGCTCTATGGGACGGGATCATCCGCATGTCTAGCATGTTTATAAGGTTTCCATACCATGCAGTTGACCAGCCAAACATTAAAGTGCAACTTGCAGCGATTGCCGGTTTTCCTAATGTAATCAGAGCGATTGACTGCACGCACATTGCTATAAAGTTAGAGTTCATGCTAGAGTTCATGCTTGAGCGTGTCAGAACATGTTGCCATGCGCTTTATGAGCTACACCCCTCACGCTGATATAGACACTACAAAATTTTACACCTTTACATCGGACCATTTCTTTTTTAATTCACTCAAAGTGCGATGTTCAGACCCAACTGCATTAACTGCATCAGCTAAACTCTCCCACTCTATTTTTTCTTTTGTTACTAATTCCAGAGGACAAATTTGCAAATAACACCGTTTTTTTCTGTTCGACCTCCGAAAGGAGCCCCTCCAATTCACATTCTGTTCAAAGTTTCTCTTTTTGCGTGCTTTTGCCATTGCTTTTTCATTTGGTTTTGTCAAAGTAGAGTCATTACCATATTTATTAGGGGGAGGAAGCAGGGAGGGGTTGTGCGCTCATGCATATTCGCTCAGTTTTACGTTAATTCGGACCAGAGGCCACTGTCGACTGACTGTTTGACTGACCGAATGTTTGACTGACTGTGCGACCGATCGACCCACCCTCCTCCTTCCCTAAACCCAACCAATTTTATTGATTGACCCGCCCACCCACTTTCCTAAACCCATTCAAAATTTTTTAAAAGCAGTCCAAAAAAAGAAAAGCCCTCGTCTGATTTTTATTACGTTTTACCACATTTTCATCCTGTTATTTACTTGTTTATTTTATTCTTTGGCTTCAGTTTTTGTCTTACTTGCTTTCTGGAATCGTTCTTCACTACACTCGAACCCCGCCGTCATGGTCAACTCTTCTCTGCGTCTCAAGTCCACCGATGAACATGGCGAGCTAATCGGACAAACTAGTTACAGCGGCCAGCTGGTCATACTGCCCCATGGCGTTTGTTTTTAAAATAAAATGCAGACATACTTTCCTCTGGC